TTACCAACAATACATTTTTGACAAAAAATATTACCAACAATACATTTTTGGAAAAAATATTACCAGCAATACATTTTTGAAATAAAAATTACCAGCAATACATTTCTGAAAAAAAAAATATTACCCCTAATACATTTTTGAAAAAAATATTACCAGCAATACATTTCTGAAAAAAAATATTATCACTAATACATCTTTGAAAAAATATATTACCAACAATACATTTTTGACAAAAAATATTACCAACAATACATTTTTGGAAAAACTATTACCAGCAATACATTTTTGAAAAAAAATATTACCAGCAATACATTTTTGGAAAAAATATTAGCAGCAATACATTTTTGAAAAAAAATATTACCAGCAATACATTTTTGAAACAATATATTACCAGCAATACATTTTTGAAAAAATATATTACCAGTAATATATTTTTGAAAAAATATATTACCAGCAATATATTTTTGAAAAAATATATTGCCAACAATACATTTTTGAAAAAAAATATTACCAGCAATGCATTTAACGATAATATGTGAGGAATTAGATTTCTTTTTTAAGTAATTATATCTATCTGTATATATATATATATATATTTATATATATATATATATGTTTATTTCTTCAAAAGTGATCATAGTGTATGCGCATATTTAAATAGACGCCTGATTCTTATTTTAAACAGTCCTGAGTAAGATGATAAACTACGCCAGGCAACAAGGCCTATGATCGGGAGATTGGAGATTTTGAGGTGCGTGGAAATACATTTTAATTTCTATTGTTTCCATGACCACCTGTATCCGGGCTGGTAGCAATTGTTAGGCTCACAGCTATGGCCAAATATTGAACCTCCAAATAAAATCAGCATTACATTCTTATAATCAAACGACCAATAGATTTTGATAACAAAATGACAATCAATGCAACACTAAAAAAAAAATACAAAAATATATTTTTATAGTAAAATTACGAACAATACATTTTATGATCTACAAACTATATATGTAAAAATAAACATACCTTTAACGTGGGTGTATAAGATTATATACAGGGTATCTGTAGTTGAAAGCACTGCATTGCGTGTTTGAGATTTAAATTTCGACATTAAATCATCCATAAAGGTAGATATGCCGCTAAACAAATGAAAGCAACCAACCATTTATTTTAAACTGCGCATTATGGCCTGTTTCAGCCTGCGTATTAGAGAAAACTTAATAAAGAAAATGTAATCTACAGCAGAAATCGAACATAAGTACCCCCCCCCACCTCTGTAGGAACAACGACCATTTGATCTGGCTTGTTTTACCTTTCGGCTAAAGAGAGTTTCACAGTTCATAAATGCTCTATTTTCCCATTTTAAGAAAAGCATTTTTCCGCGTTCAGATTATTATTCTTGAAAATCTACATTTGCTCAGTTTTGTATCCAAAACGCAAGCAAAACAATTTCTAAACAATTGACGGATTTACTTTTATTCCTCTATAATAACGTTTGAAGTAATAAAAACGTCGAATTAAAACAATTACATTAATATATATATATATATATATATATATATATATATCTGTTGTGACCAAGTAATGGTTAAGAACTAACAAAAGAAGAGGTTGCAGATAAATAGTGTATTGAACAGTAAATACAACAGAAGAGTGTAACACGACTTGGGAGTGTGTGTCGGTTGACCAGCGTTCAGTCTATATGAGTCTATATCACTGTTCGTCCCGAGGCCTACTTTCCTACTAATTTTATAGTCAGTGGGAAAGTCAATAGCCTCATTAGAGGGAGCACACCGCAACAATATATAATTATATTAACGGAATATATATATATATATATATATATATATATATATATATATATATATATATATATATATATATATATATATATATATATATATATATATATATATATATATATATATAGGACGCACGGTGGAGTAAAGGATAGCAGCCCGGATTGAGGAATCGGAGAGCTGAGTTCGAATTACATTCACTTATGTGCTAATACCCTTGAAAAGGTATGGATCTTCTTGGATGGCAACTGTTCTACGCAGAAAGAAATGGCAAACTCTTGCGTGAAAAATCTGCCTTGCCATTCATGTATTGAAAGACACATGATCGCCTAAGCGTGTATCCCGCATGGCACATAACATAACATTAAAATGATATAATAATAATAATAATAGTAATAATAGCTGGCCACTTGTATTTGAGTATACCCATCTACTAGGCGGCTAGCCAATTCTTATTGCATTTGTGTTTGTTCAACACCCACAGAGCCAACCTCTGGTTTATATGTCCAGTTGCAGTTTCTCGGGGAGAGCGTGTTATCTCGCTTGTTCAACAATGCGAGCACACTGAAAACCTCGGTCACGATGTGTTGTGACTTCGTGCTAACACAGCTATCGACGGCCCCCAATTTCAATCACAAGGGATGGGTTAACCTGTGGAATTGGGTTTTGAGGCACTTTCCAAAGATGCCGCATGCTGGGATCGTCCCCGTCCTTCCTGACACATCAACCGTGGTAAGATTCGAATCCGGGTCTCATGGTCAGAAAACGAACGTGCTAACCACTCAGCCATATATATATATATATATATGTATATATATATATACGGAAGGTGGATGTTTTTAAGAAGCGGGTAAACACCTGTTAATTGCTGTTGATAGATAGATAGATAGATAGATAGATAGATAGATAGATAGATAGATACTGAATAGACTGACATAGATAGATAGATAGATAGATACTGAATAGACTGACATAGATCGATAGATAGATAGATAGATAGATAGATACTGAATATAGATAGATACTGAATAGACTGAGATAGATTGATAGATAGACAGACAGATAGATAGATAGATAGATACTGAATAGACTGAGATAGATAGATAGATAGATTGATTTTTATAACAAAATTACCAACAATACGTTTTGTTCTAACTATATACCCGCATATACTCGTGTAACGTGCGATGTTTATTTTAAATACAGCTGTATTTTTTACTACAGTAAATTAACATATAGTTAGGTCAACGGCGTAGCCAGAGCCAGCAGTACATATGCTATTTTTATAACTCGTGTAAGAATCGAGCCCCTAAAAATAAGATTCAAAATTAGTTCTTCTAAAGTCGAATGATACGAGAGTCTATGAAAAACATACCTTTACTCTGAAAGCATAAAATCATGTACAAATATATGTTGTTGAAGGCATAAAATGACGTACAAAATATTTAGATTTCGCCATTAAATAACCCACAGATGTGTTGATACGCCGCTAAACAAAATCAACCAACCAACCATCCAACATGCGAGAACTCTTTCTTGATATTAGTCCATATAAGTTGCTACAATTTCTGAAACCGTATTCCAAAACTATAACATAAAACACACACCTTTCGTAAACGTGTCCATACAAATCTGTATATTCACGCATGCTGAGTATCTTCTACCATGTATTCAACTGTGAAAGCGGAATAACATATATGATTTTTATTAATTCGAAGCTCCCAAGAAAATTAAATATCGGTATTAAATGACCCATAACGTGTTCATATGCCGTTAAACAAACAAATAAATTTATGCGCTTGAAATATGTGGATATGTGTTTAGATGGCTAAGTGTTCAAATTCTGTTCATTATTGAATTCAATCTCAACATATCTATGCGGAATTTTAAAAAATATTTTTTAAAAAGATTCGTAAAAATAATTAACTTCTTTCATGTCGTAGAATTCTATAAAAAGTACTTGATGAACCTTTCTTTCTTTGAACAATTTACGAAGATTTAGTCAGAGTCAAGTTTAATTGCCGACACAACTGAGTACTTTTTAAATCCATGTTGCTCATCAATTTTTAATTATTCTTTTATGTTGGTGACTCTTGCTCCGAAGAACATTTTGCATTTATTTTTTAGAAGTATCTTTTGGTAACATCTTTCTCTCTATTTATCTAATCTCATTTGTTCATATTCATCTATCTATCTATCTATCTATCTATCTATCTATCTATCTATCTATCTCAGTCTATTCACTATCTATCTATCTATCTATCTATCTATCTATCTATCTATCTATCTATCTATCTCAGTCTATTCACTATCTATCTATCTATCTATGTATCTATCTATCTATCTATCTATCTATCTCAGTCTATTCACTATTTATCTATCTATCTATCTCAGTCTATTCACTATCTATCTATCTATCTATCTATCTATCTATCTATCTATCTATCTATCTATCTCTCTATCTATCTATCTCAGTTCAGTATATGTTTATCTACCACAATTCTCTAATATTCGTCCCTGTGCTTCTTTCAAATCTTTCCATCTTCCTATGTATTTGTTCATCCTCTTAACCCCACTCTCTCTCTCTTTGTATATATATATATATATATATATATATATATATATATATATATATATATATATATATATGTCAGTTTAACTATTTCCTTGTCACTGCGGCTAATCAAATCTCTCTCTCCCACTCTCTCTCTCTTTCTGTCCATATTTTTACGTAAGCATATGCGTGTATGAACGTTTGCCCGTGAAATATAGTTTAATAATCCTTACATGAACAAAGTCTTTACCCCTGAAAGCAGAGGCCCAATGGCCAACGCGAAGGACAGATTGAACGAAAGAGTTAAAAACAATCGTAGCGTCCATTCCAGATAACATTCCAAAGTCGCAGAAGCGGATAATAAGGAAACCCAACTTGTTCCTTTGGGAAGAGGGGGGTGAAAGTGAAGGTGGAGGGTTAGGGTAGGTAATAAAGTCGTCTTTAGGGTGAGGGTCGGGAGACAATGCAAATGGCTGACACTTTTGAGATGTCATCATATAGAAAAAGTTGTCTTTCTCACTCTTTATTTTGCAATTCAAAAAATGCAAACGATTTCTTCTTACAGTTAATGACAACTTCATTCAGTGGCGGGGGGGAGGTGAGGAAATTTGAGAGGGGGTAGAAAGTGAAGGGCTTTGGCAGCGTTTGTTTCACTAAAATATGGCAGATGGTTGAAGCATTTCGTGACAGTAAAATAGGGAGAGGATGAGGAGTAGAAGAATACGTAAGAAAAAGAAAGAGATAGAAACAGAGAGGTAGAAACAGAGAGGGGGAGATTTGATTAAAGTCGCATCGATGTTGAATGAGAAAAGCAAGCAATCAATCAGTGAAGGAAAGGTGGAGAAAAGGGTGAAAGAAGAGGGCAACAAGAAGCAGGGATCAGAAAGAGAGAGAGAGAGAGAGAGAGAGAATGTTTCGAAAGAAGAGTAAAGGGGATAAATGAAATACTTAAATAAAAACAATAATTTAAAGCAGAAAATGAAACGAGAGAAATGAAAGCTATGTTTAATGTTTGTACATTAAGGTGAAAAGGAAGGAAGGAAGGAAGGAAGGAAGAAAGAAAAGAAGAAAAGGAGAAGAAAGAAGGAAGGGAGGATAAGAAGGAAGCAAATAGGAAAGGGGAAAGAAACAAGAAGAAAAAGAAGAAAAGACGGAAGAAATAAGATCACTGTTTAATATATGGACATAAAAGGTGAAAAGGAAGGAAGGAAGGAAGGAAGGAAGGAAGGAAGGAAGGAAGGAAAGGAGAAGAAGAAGACAAAAGGAAGGAAGGAAGGGAGAAGAAGAAAACAAAAGGAAGGAAGGAAGGAAGGAAGGGAGAAGAAGAAGACAAAAGGAAGGAAGCAAGGAAAGAAGAAGAAGAAGAAGAAGAAGGACGAAGGGAGAAGAAGAACACAAAAGGAAGGAAGGAAGGAAGGAAGGGGGAAATGGGGATAGAAGAAGAAGAAGAAGAAGAAGGAAGGAAAGGAGAAAAAGAAGACAAAAGGAAGGAAGGAGGAAGAAGAAGAAGAAGAAGAAAGAAGGAGGAAGAAGAAAGAAGTGAGAAAGAAGAAGAAGAAGAGGAAAGGAAGGAATGAAGGTAGGGAGGAGGAGAAGAAGGAAAGAAGAAGGAAGCAAGGAAAGGAGAAGAAGAAGAAGCAGAAGAGGAAGAAAGAGGAGGAAAGGAGAAGAAGAGGACAAAAGGAAGGAAGGAAGGAGGAAGAAGAAAGAAAGTGAGAAAGAAGAAGAAAAAGAAGAAGAAAGAAAGGGAGAAGAAGACAAAAGGAATGAATGAATGAAGGCAGGAAGGAAGGAAGGAAGAAGAAAGAGGAAGGGAAAGAGGAAGGAAGGAAGGAAGGAAGGAAGGAAGGAAGGAAGGAAGTTGCTATTGATATAAAAAAGATAGAATCAAAATCCGGAAATAACGTGACAAAGTAGTAAAATGTGAAAAAAGTAAAATGCAATAAAGAAAAAAAAGAAAACTAGAAAAAAAAAAGAAAAAAGCGGAAAAGTGGAATTGATAAAAGTAAATTTAAAACCAAAGATAAAGGATTCAAGAAAAAAAAAAATAAAATAAAAAAACGGAAAGAGCATTGACAAAAAGAAAGAAAGAAAAAAAAATGAAAAAACAGAAAGAAAGTAAAACAGTAGGATCTTCTCCAAAAAGAAAGGAAGAAAGAATATTGAATGAAAAAAGCAAGGAATGAATCAGAAGGAAGGAAGGAATGAAAGAAGGAAGAAAGGAGAAGAAGGAAGACAGGAAATAAGGAAGGAAGGAAGAAGAAAAGAGGAAGGAAGGGAGGAAAGAAGGGAGGTAGGAATGAAAAAGTAACGTGGAAAGAAGAAGAAGAAGAAGAAAAAGAAGGAGAAAAAGAAGAAGAAGAAGAAAAGGAGGAGGAAGAAGGAAGTGAGGAAGGGTTTATAGAATCTAAAAAAAAAATAGACTCAAAATCCGGAAATAACATGGCAAATTAGTAAAGTTTGAAAAAAAGTAAAATGCAATAAAGAAAAAAAAAAACAATGCAGAAAAGAAGAGAAAAAAAAAAGAGAAAAAAGAAGAGAAAAAAAAAGAGAAAAAAGAAGAGAAAAAAAAGAAGAGAAAAAAGAAGAGAAAAAAAAGAAGGGAAAAAAAAAGAGAAACAAGTGGAAGAGTGAAATTTAAAACCAAAGGTAAGCGATTGAAGAAAAAGAAGAAAACCGGAAAGAGCATCTCCAAAAAGAAGGAAAGAAAAAAAATATGAAAAGAACAGAAAATAAAACAGAACGATCATCTCCAAAAAGAAAGGAAGAAAGTAGAAGATAAAGAAATAAAGAAAACAAAGAAAATAAAGAATTTCCAAAAATAAAAAAAGATAGAACGAAAGAAAATCTCCACGCAGAAAGAAATAGGGAAAAAAAGAAGAAATAAGGAAAAAAAGAAAATTTCCAAAAAGAAAGAAAGAAAGAAAGAAAATAGAAAAAGGAAGAAAATAGAAACGATAAAAAGGAAGAAGACAGATAGATATAAAAGTTCCAAGAAGCATATATCAATCACTTGTTTTGACACAATTTTTGTTTTTACTTTATATTTATTTTTCACGAATCTCAACTATTTTTTGTTGCGTATCAATATTTCAACAATTTGATTAAATTATAGGAATTAGCAACAAAAATAGCTTTGGACGAGATTTGAAACCATATTGTCTGCTTTGATAGCTCGTCCTCTTATGAAAAAACGCTTTCCAATAATCCCATGAGCGCTAGAATATGGAACATTTAATGAAATACGAAGCAACAATGAAAAGATTAGGAATTAAAAAAAAATTGGAATTTATTAAGAGTTATTTGCTTACCTAATCTATCAAACATTAAGCGATGATCGAATAGGAGGTGTGAGTTCAAGTCATATTTGAAATAAATATTTTGTTTCGAATACTAACAGTTTACTTGAAGAGCTGAAAAATAAATCAGTTAGTCTTGCGATACCCACGAACAATAATGGAAGTTAAAAATATGTTGAAATAATAATTCTTCTTTTAGATCTTTTATTAAGTTTTTTTCATTGTTCTTTCTTTATTTTTCTTTCTGTCTTTCTTTCTTTCTTTCTTTTTCTTTCTTTCTTTCTTTCTTTCTTTCTTTCTTTCTTTCCTTTTTCCTTTTTCTTTCTTTCTTTATTTCTTTTTCTTTCTGCCTTTCTTTCTTTCTTTTTCTTTCTGTCTTTCTTTCTTCCTTTCTTTCTTCAACATCTTTTTGATTATTTCTTTCAACTTTTATTTTATTAAATAGTTGTTCATTCTCTCTTCCCTTTTTCATTCTTTTTCTTTCTTTTATTAAATAGTTTGTTCATTCTTTTCTTAAATCTCTCCTTTTATTCCTTCTTTCCTTCTCTTTTTTCTTTCGTTAAATTGTTTTTTTACCTTTGTTCCTTTCCTCATTCTAAATCGTCCTTTCTTTCTTTCTTTCTTTCTTTCTTTCTTTCTTTCTGAAACACGGAAACACTTAAGGTCAGAATCACAAAGGCAAGAATCAATTGAAGAAGACAAAGAAAAGAAAAAAAGAATGGTGGACTGAAAATATTAGAGAGTGAGTAATTAAGAATATGAGAGAGAAAGAGCGAATAAATAATGAAAGAAAGAGTGAGAGGAGTGTTCCACTCGGACGGTGTGAGTGAAAAGTCACAAATATGACTGAAATTCTTCAATAAAAGCGAAAATCTAATTTCATAAACAGGCTAATAAAAATGCAGACCGTCCGACATTGAAAGAGAGATGGCTGTACGGGCACATATACGCATTGATGAAAACCTTCACGATTCCATTGAAACGATCTGAAAGAAATTGGCACACGTACACACATAAATACACATACACACATGCATGCACACACATATGTTTTCATCCCACATCTCTCGAGCCCTTCTTTCATAGATGCCGCCTTAACCACATAAAAATGTGGAAGGTTGACTACAAATTTTACCATGCTGACTCATCGAAGTTTCCGTGATCTAAGTGGTGAAGGCGACGTCCATGAAAGCTGGTATGCTGAGATATGAGTGTTCAGTCAACAAATTTTCTGATTTTGTTCTGTTTTCTCGAGTATTGTCGACTCTGACTAATGTATTAAAAAGTATCTATCTATCTATCTATCTATCTATCTATCTATCTATCTATCTATCTATCTATATATATATATATATATATATATCTAAACCTGCCTAAATCTATCTATCTATCTATCTATAGATATCTAAACCTGCCTAAATCTATCTATCTATCTATCTATCTATCTATCTATCTATCTATCTATCTATCTATCTATCTATCTAAACCTGCCTAAATCTATCTATCTATCTATCTATCTATCTATCTATCTATCTATCTATATTAAGAAATGGACAAAGTCCGACAATTTATTTATTAAAGACATTTTTTTTATGTTTAATTCATGGAAGATTGAAGTTTATAAGCAGTAAATTCGACCTTGTCTACCGAACGCTCCTTTGTGGTTGGTCGGTAAGGCACGTCAGCGTAAATGACGGTTCCGTATAGGATGCAGGTTCGAATCCTGTCAAAGAACGAATATTTTCTATGAAAATTTCTCGGACATTCAGGCCGGTAAATGTTATTTAATACTGTTTATTATAAACAGAGCATTTACTTAAATACTTGTATCTATAAAAAAGAATCTATCTATCTATCTATCTATCTAATTATCTATACATCTATCGATCTAATATGTAAGATGGAGAAAACTAGTTAAAAAAATCATGAAATTACTTCATCTGAAAACATTCTCCAAATTACATACATGTCAGTTTGTAATTTGCCTTGTTGGCTCTGACCAGCTTCCATTATGTCTGTGTGTCTATAAATTCAGATATAATTTCAAACTATTCAACTATATTCAAAGCAGATAATTTTGCCTGTGATTTTATTGGATTGAAACAAATTTGAAAAAGACACATATATTGATATATTTCCAGAAAAATATGCGCATGCGCACCCATAAGACCAGAATCACACATATCACCGACCTTCGCGATAACAATAATAGTACAATATGGCATATGAGCTAGTACATATATATATATATATATATATATATATATATATATATATATATATATATATATATATATATATATATATATATATATATGATTTACAATCAAACCAAATCCAACCAAAACTAGTATTTTTTTAAATATAACATTCAACCTAAACAATGAAATATAGAGACCATAGAGAAAACCGTACAACACCTCAATATACATTAACAAAAATTCTACCCCCACCCCTAACATATTCAGACAGATACCCTCATCTATAAATCCAAGAATTTCAATAAATTCTAGTAAAAAAATATTCAATGAAAACACAAAAACATATGAATCAGTCTCTAGAAACAGCGGTTATTCAAACAAACTAGAATACAAAAACGAAAAAAGCAAATTATCAAAAATTTTCAATAAAAATACAATGAACAATAGTTACAGCTTCATGGATAACATGGAGGAAATAATAACTAAGCATAATAAAAAAAAATACTCAACTAAACCAATAACAATTACAACAACAATAAGAATACAACCATTAAAATAACACCATTAAATGTAACTGCAGAAGCAAAGACAATTGCCCACTTAACAATAGATGTTTAACCAATAACATAATATACAAAGTTATCGTAACTAATAACATTAATGCAGACGAAAAAATTATATATGCGCCATAAGAAAAAAAAACCTTAACCGAAATATATTATAAGCACAAAATGTTCTTTGAAAGACAAAAATACACAAATAGAACCCTATCAAAATACATATGGAATTAAAAAGAAAACAATATCCCAACCAAATTCAAATGGGAAATTATAAAAAGCGCAGCCGTAGACAGTATTAAAAGTAAAAATTTTAAACTATGCTTAGAAGAAAAAATAGTAATAATTAGTTTTAAAAACCAAAATAAACTCTTAACCAAGAAAACTGAAATAATGGGTAAATGTAGGCATATAAATAAATACTTACTTTCCTATCTAACTACTAATTAAAAATAAACTTTAAATAAATAAATGAAACAAATGTAATATACATTTTTTAAAAATTTAAATAAATAAAGGAAGAAATATTAAACATACACATCTATACGCGCATGCGTGTATATGTACATTTTTTTTAATCGGTATCACTCCAAGCAAGGCAGTACAGCCACTAGAACGTAAGGCGTTATAGGTTGTGCAGAAACATTAGCAATGATGAGAAAGAAAATAGCAACCAGGAGGACAGCAGATAGCGATTGACATTGCATTTAAACCATTGCTGATTAAAATTGGCTGGAAAGCATGGGACCGGCAACGAGTTCCACAACCGAGAAGTGCGGGATAAGAAACCGTGAGTATATAAATTATGGCTGCATCTAGTCAGCTAAACTGTAAATTGATGAAATCTCGGCGCCAGTCTAGAATTTGCGCTTAAATTCATAGAGTCTGGGTTACCATAGCTAAGAGCTCATCTGAACAGTTATCATGAAAGTATTTATTTTAAAAAAAAAAAGGCACAGAGAGGCAACCTTACGGCTGTGGGCAAGTGACTGAAGCCGAGTGGCAAGATCAGGACCAATAATATTGCTGATTCTTCTTTTGATTTTATCGAGGAACTCTAGGTACATAGCAGGGGCACTAAACCGTATATGGCAGCAAATATTCTCATCGTGGACGATAGATTCCAAAAAGAAAGATTGTTTCACTCGACACATTGAACCGACTTTCTTAGCAGCAGATCTAACGATGAGGTCAATGTGGTCTTTCTATCTCAGGTCAGTTGAGAATATTAGCCCGAGAAATCGCAATGAGTCACTTTCTTTGAGGCTAGCATCAGTCATGCTGATGGAAAGCAGAGAGGGTCTCTTAAATGATTAATGGAGAGTAATTTAGTATTGGAGGCATTAGAATTGACAAGTCATCTTTTGCCTCGTTTAACGACGGTTTTGAGGTCGTTTGGAGACCAGCTGCCATTTTGATTTGATGGGAATGACCGGATCAGCTCGTGTTGCTGGGGATACCGTAACTTTTCAGCTTGTGGAAAAGACCTGAATGCCAGACCCTGTCAAAGGCTTTCGAGATGTCCAATGCTACAGCCAGGGCTTCACCGTTTTTATATAGAACATGATAGACCCTTTCCAGAATTATCGTTAGCACAACAGCAATTGACCTGGAAAAACAAATGCCGTACGAAAAAAAAAAACGAAACCTTGTCTGAAAAAAGACCTCGCGATGAGAGATGATGAACCAATTCAGCATTGATTGGGGCCTCTAGGAGCTTCTCAAAAAGAGGCAGAAGGCTAATAGGCCAATAATTGGAGGGGGTTCTTAAAAACTGGAATAACGGACGATGACTTCCAGGAGGCAGTAAAACAGGAAGCAGCAAGGCATTTATTGTACAGTTTATACAGAACAGGAGCTATTTCGGAATCACACTTCTTAATGAGCATTACAGGGATACCATCGGGTCCACATGCTTAGTGAGGATCCAGGTTAGAGATGATAG